GATAATCTCTTAATCTGTATCAACCACTGACACTACATTTTACGTAATTTAAAGCTGATTTTTATTACAAATTGTAATTATCTGATGAAGTATTAATAACTTCGAAACTCCTCATCAGCGTTTCTTGTTGTGACTTTAAAGAAGGCTAGTTATCATGTGATTTATTCGCCAATCGAAATGTGATTTATTCAATCTTAGTACTGTGCTGAATCAATGACGTTCGACCGGTATAAGCAGCCTAACATCCTTATTGGTCCTTTGTTCGTCTAGCCCGTCCGTCCAGTTGAGTCCAGAACACCACTAATAGCTTCCACTATGCGAATCATTTATTCTTAACATATTTGGTTTATATACAAGCCAAAACGGACCGCATCACACCATAAAATAGGAAATAACATTTATACAAGATCAAACCAAAAAGTGGCTGTGAATGTGAGAGACCGTAATCAATAAACTGAGCATAACTTAACAACAGTAAATCGTATCATAATAATCTATAGGTCAAAATGAAGTTTATAATAACAGGAATATAGACATACCTAATCTAGTAACTGAATATATGTTGCACAGCATTAGTTCATGAATAATTCACAGAAGTTACCCATAATTTGATATTCACTAGGTTACAACACATATTATACAATTCAATACGACAGTGGTGTATCCACTGACTTCAGTTATCGTACTAAACATTTTGTCAAGAAATCAGTGTTCGATGATTGAAATTTTTTTTTAACTTGAAGTCAGTTCATGATATAACACCATCATTGTTCATTGTCAGTCTTAATTTGGTTAAACCAAACACAGAACATGGTTTTCCATTAAGAAATTCATCTAGAAATAAGATATTATTGAGTAGACTGATGATTCATTTAATCCTCTTTGTTCTATGTGACAGTCTGTGATTTCAGTAAACTTTTAATGGTATCATTATATTATTAATAATACAATCTTCCACAAATGAAAACAATCATGTGTTCACTAGTGACTGGATTCAAGATGGACTTCCTGGAGTTCTAGTGAAATGCCGTGACCAGTGAATTACAATCCGTATCGGGTAAAGTCAAGTATCTATCTCAGGCAATGGATGAATGGTTGTACAAGATCATGGGTCGATTGAAGTTAGCTATTAACACCATTGGATGCCGGCTTAATGATCTAGAGGTGAAATGTTACTGCGAGAGACCGAAGGTCCCGGGTTCGAGTACTGCGTGCGTAGTTGTGGACACATAGTGCCGAGGAGATGTTACTAGGACGAAACGGCCATCCAGTACTTCCAGATTTCCACTGCTGGTCCAACTTAGATTCATCATATATAGAATAATATTAAAATTAAGTCTCCCACAATCTTTATTTCATAAATATAATATTTTCTAGACCATCATCATCAAATCCCTTGTAATATATTCGTCGAACTTTATTCTCTTATTCTATATTCCATTATCACAATTGATTGTCACTGGGTGATGATCAACGTCATGTGTGTTAAATCCTTCTTTAATGCAGATCGAATCCTATCGACCAATTTGCAATGTGATCACTAGTCTAAGTGATTCAACATTGCATGCACTATGTTGAGATAAGATATTGGTTGGATGTAGTCAACAGGAAACACTGTTAACCCGAGTTTCGTGCTACTTGACACTTATCAGCAAGGTGTACCTGTAATCTTGAAGGAACTAGTGCTCCCTGACGGATTCGATCCCATGTCAATCAGCTTCACAATCAGAGCCGTTATCACTGAGCTATGCGGACCGCAACTAACCTCCTGTAGGACTGAGATATAATCACAATTGATTGATCACTAGGTGATGATCAATGTCATATGCGTTAAGCCCTTCTTTAGTACAGATCGAATCCTATCGACCAATTTGCAATGTGACCACTAAATCTAGATAATTCGACATTGTATGCACTATATATTTGAGATTTAGATGGTGATTGGAAATAGTTTGATTTAATGTGAAAATCTTTCTCGAATTATTTTCATTGTAAGTAAGTAAATATTAGTTGTGTTCTCAATAGACATAAACATAAACATACATCAATAAAATAAACAAAGAAACTGGTAGACAGATTGTTTGTTTTTAAGATTTAACCAACAAAACATTGTTATTTATCTCATGTCACGTAAACAATAAACAATTGACTCATTCTAATAGAAATCAAGATTAATATTTTCAAATTACAAGATTGATGATGATCTTTGATAAATTTGTTTTCAAATTTTTGTAAAATAAACGGATTAGTTCACTTGGCATTGTTTGGCTTGTATCTTCCCATTGAGGTTTAACACTGCAATTGATCAGTCTGTTATTGGCATATGTGCATGCGGTGCGTATACCTCGATATTGCCTTAATTCACCTCATTGCACAAGCAAGTGGCTATCAGGACTCAGTAGCTGCTGAGTGCATAACGCGATGGCGATTGAAGCAAATGGTATCGGGTTCGAGTCCAGAGTGAACATCAATTCTGAGATGCAGGTACATCCAACTGACGAGTCCCAAATAGAACGGAACTTGTGTCCTGGATTCCACTGCTAGCCACTATCCATCATTGCTTACAAAAAACGAATTAGTGTCAGGACAACTGTTTTCTTTTTCCAATGTTCAATATAATATCTAACATTATCGAACATCATTTCGTTCATTTAGTGTGTTACTACTATACATAAAGGCGTGATTTTTATTAGAGATTTCATTTCAGTCATCTAAAGCGATCTACATAAGTCTTTCATGAATATACCTGTAATGAATCTCATCTTGTTGAAATGAAAACAAAAACATGGACATTATAAGCAAAGATGAACAGTGGCACACAAACCGACAAAATCACTACAATCAATCCTATGCAAACCAAAGGATGAAATAACAAAGAAAAACAAATCAAACATCATCTACAAAATAAATTAAGCCAACTGCGAAAAAACACTACATCCGACAAAGCGGACGCCGCCTTCACCTTCGCCTACATAAACATCAACAGTCAAACGGCATGATATCTCCTCGCTTATATCAATACACGTGAACAACTGCGAACACCCATTCGATTGGAAAAATGTGGAAATCTTGGAGACAGGAAATTCCAAAGATATCAGGGAATTTTTAGAAGCCTGACACTCAGGTCAATCAGCAGTCAACAAGCATATTGAAATCAATCCAATTTATCAACCAATCAGAAAAATCATGCACAAACATAAGAACAAAAATCAAAACAATGGAAGACACAACCAAAACAAATTAGTAAACAATGACAAATTTACAGTCAATAAGAACCAATCAACATCGAGGTGCACAGAACAAGCTTCGAAACGCATTTGGAGAAATTCGAACACTTCACTTCTATCTGAAGTTTGTGCTGATAATGTCGTTCAGAAGAACGATGAAAGCTCCACGACCAAACCATCCAGCTCAGAGAACAAAACTCCACCAAAGTAGTGGCTAGTAGTGGAATCTAGTTTGATCCACGTTTTGTCCTATTTGAGACTTGTCAGTTGGATGTATCTACATCTTAGAGTTGATGTTCAATCTGGGACTCGAACTCAGTACCGTTCGTTTTAAATGCCATCGCGTTATCTACTTAGCTACTGAGTTCAAATAGGACTAAACGCGCATCCAAGATTCTACTGCTGGCCACTATCCATCTGTGCTTAGAATGTTTGTGAATTAAGGCAATATCAAGGCAATCTGCACAGTATGCACATATACCAATAAGAGACTGATCAATTGCAGTCCTAAATATCAATGGGAAGATTCAAGTAAACAATGCCAAGTGAATATAAATACGTTGAAAATTAGAGTTTGGAATGGAATCCTCAGAGAAAGAATTATGCTTTCATCAAATGTAACATACAGAAACTAATTACCAAAGAATGCCTGATATCTCACATATATTCAACACTGAGAAACTGATGAGCTACAAATTCACGGATATTTTTCCTATCTCATAAATTACGAGTAATGGAGAAGATTTGCAGTACAAGAGGATGGTTTTGGTTTAGTTTCATTCTAGTAGAACAGTGACTATCAATGAGATTATATCATTTTCGTTCTAGTTAGCAACAACCAGCAGCAAGGCATATGAACAATCTTCAGAAAAGCGATGTGATCAGTAAGGGTTTTCAAGGCATAATACTCAAGATCACAGTAAGAGACGTTAAAAGTGGGTTATATATGTCTCACGACTGAACTATCTCCATTAGGATTGGGATATACTCACTGATTTGCACTCATTTCAACGTCTTCACAGTTTAATCTCAGATGTTGGAATTATTCTCAGGAGAGTAAAGTGATAGTATAAAATAAAAAGCCATGCGCAGAATGATTGCATAAACTGGTGGTATGAATTTCACTATGAAGTAATACAAAGAATATCATATCTAGAAAAAACATTCCACTAAAATAAAAGATCACAATGAAAACAAAATAAAATATTACACTGAATAAACATTATATTGAATTTGAAATGGAAGTAGTGTTGAACAAAGATCATGATGAGTTAAAGAAAGAGGTCTGGCCTTTCATCCCATATGTCATCTTCCTCTACTGAAAATGGTTCCGACATCTGAGATTCACCTGAAGAAGTTGAAATGAGTGCAAATCAGTTAATATATCAATCCTAAAATTACAATGACCGATCGTCACATATATATAATTGAATTCATCAGTCGATTGAAGCTAGACCATCACGGAAAACCTGGAAGCATTAGAAGGACGTTCCATATAAGTATGGGACTCTTCAGCAGTGCGCATCCATTATCCCACCTCGCAAGATTCGAACCCAGGACCTATCAGTATCGCGCGTGAACACTTGACCTATAGATCACTGAGCCGGCATCCAACGGTGTTAATATCTAACTTCAACCACTCCACAATCATCCAATGTTTCCAGGTTTTCCATAGTGGTCTAACTTCAATTGACTCATGAATTCAATTTTCATAAAACCCTTCTCTGATTATATATAAAGTTGAAAATTTTCTTTTATCTCTTATGTTACTAGGTACATCGTTTAATTATTGTTGATGAGAATAAAAAAGTTGAAGGAATTATCTCATTATCAGATATATTGAAATTTCTTACAAATTGGTCAACTGATGATAATCATCATCATCATAACACATCAAAACGAAGAACTGATCTTGTTCGAATTAAAAAATTCATTACAAATCCATTGCGTAATTCATATCATCAATAAATAAAACTAGTTTGTATGCATCATTCTTTCTCTTTCTCTGTATTCCCCTTTTTCCCCATGAAATGTTATCAGATTGATCAATCAATTTAACAATAAATGATTAGAATGAACATAACAATAACAATCACTTGGAACTAATTGACAATTTTATAGGTTAACAATTAAAATAACCAACTCATTGTCTTGTTACATTAGTGTTACTGCTGACACTAGTAACATCGTTTTCATTATTATTATTACTATTCGACTTATTGTACTACATCAATACTACTAATCATCTTTCTCTAATATCCTATAGACGTAATCATTTATTCTTTAAAGATTCCTATTCTTTAATTTGTAATTTGTCATTAGTTTTCTACTATTCAATTATTATTATTTTCATTATACAATTAATGATGAAAACAATCTTATCAATAGAGATCATTATTTTTCTTTTCAACTCCACTAATCACTATGTTCTCCACTCCTCCTCCTCCTCCTCCTACTACTACTACTACTACTACTACTACTACTACTATTCTCCACTCCTCGGTCAGTCAGTCAGCTACAACGTAGGACCAGGCACATATGTACATTGGTCCAGGTTGCCATACATCATTAGCACAACAAGATGAACACCGGATTCATAGGAGTGGTTAGGTCAAAGGTGGTATATAAGAGAAGATTGCATATAGAGATATAACAAGAAGAAAGAATTGGTTCGTAGAAAGAAAGATATGAAGCGATTTAATCTCTTAGTTTAAAGGAAGACAGGCAGTGTATACAACGACGCCATTGTGATCGATTGTGAGCCATGTCACCAAGAGTCTCCACTCCTCCTCCTCCTCCTCGACCCTATAAATACCATTCAATTTGCACAAATTACAATTTTATTCCTTATCTCTTTAGTTGTGTACATAAATAATTACTTTATATTATGTTTTTTTATTATGTATGTGAATATTAAATGATAATTATTTTATATTTCTCTCTATAGATCTTGTTCTATTCTTTTATTAGAAACAGAAACAAGAATTTATTTGTGTGTGTGTGTGTGTGCCTGTGTCTGTATCTGTGCCTAATTTTCTGTACACATTGTTTGTGAGATAACAAAATCTGTGTGTGTATCCATGCCCCCTTTTTTAAAAATTAATTTTATTGATACATTAAATAAGAACTTTTGTCTAAATTTAATTGAATAGTTTCACAATATTTAAGCGCCAAGTTCATGTGAGACATTAAAGAGGAAGAATATTGTATTTATAGAATCTCAAAGAATGAATTTTTTTTGAAATAAATCCAACATTTCGCTTGGCAATCTGGTTGTTAGCAGGACATAGACTGGATTAAAGTATGGTCAATGCACGCTTGCGTTGGCGCACACTGAGTGGCTAATTCTTATCCAATCAGCGTTAGTCAATACTTAGTGAACACTCTAGAAATCTTCTCATGTAAAAGACTATAAATATACTAACGTTTTCCCTATTTTGCTTCTTACTTCCATCTAACCTTGTTATTTGAAATATAATCTCTTTTCCTGTTCAACTGTGTTCTGATTTAGGGGACTTGCCGAGTGAATCGGTGTCCGAGGATACTAAGCAATAGGAATAGCTTGGTTATAACCGTAAGAGAGAATTATAACACTGATCCAAGGTTTTTCAAAGAAAATATAATCAAACATGAAAATTATCGAATATAAATAGGTATATGATTCTCCGGTTTACTGTATACTGAATAAGTCATCCTATCAACGTGAACAATGTTTAAAGTAGGTATTTATATTAGTGTGTAAAAGACATGTAGTGTGAAAACGAAAAGTGTTAAGAAAACAGATTGTGTGTATACGTGGTCACACAATCGGTTATCTTAACACTTATCTTACAAGTACAATCCTCCTCTTTAATGACTGATACATTGATTATAATGATACAATGTCAAGTAATTGGAAGGAGATTCATCATTATTATATTGCATCATTAGTAAAGAAACTTACAAACTTATGTGGTTCTTAGGTGAACTTCATATCATTGATTGAATAGATTAAAGTTATCACCACGTATGAATAATCAATGTTGTATAGTACGTGCTTACTTAGTTAGTTATCAATGCAATTACGTACTTATAACTATTCACAAATGTCACAAAATCGAATTTAAATAATCAGCATTATCTCTAATGATCAAAATGATTTAAAAGATCATTTTTTATTAGACTATTAGCTAAAAAGTTGACTAATGTCATCATTATATCCAACCATACAACTGATACTTACTTAGGGCGCCGACCAGGATTTTCTACAACCCACTCTGTCCTTGGCTTTCCTTTACAGTTCAATTTAATTGTTGTTCACTCTTCTCATGTCTGTCTCCATTTTTCGACGTAATGTATTCTTTGATTTTCTTCTTTAGCCCTGAGGATTTCAAGTGAGGGCCTGTCTTGTAACGCAGTTGGGTGCTTTGCTCAATGTGTGTCCTATCCAGTTCCAGGGTTCCTTCCTCTGCTGGGATCTGGTTTGTTCTCTACCATAGTAGATTGTCAGAAGAGGCATCAGCCTCGTGGCTTCAGAAGGAACTCGGCTTTTACCATTAGGTGTCATAACTCTTCTAAATGAAAACCTTCTGACTCCCAGGGCACATTTTAAGTGTTTTGAATAATTTTTTCTGGTTACTGTTTTTTAGCGAGTTAATATTCACGCGATGGGATCGCTAACCCCATGCCCAATCGTCCCCCATTATCCGGGATTGGGACCGGCAGTAGTCGTGGAGGGGCTTCAGGCGGAGTTATACAACTGATGAAATGTTAATTTCCATATTTTTAATCTGAACATCAAAAAAACCAGAGCTGAGTGGCTACAAGTACCAGTTATTATTGAAAATTGTAATGTACATGATAATATGAATGAAATATGGAACTATGACCATTTATAAATCTCAATAAGCACATAACTATGTACATCAATTTACTTGGGAATTAAAGCTTTAGTTATAGTTAGATTTTGTTTGGGGTTTAAAAATTAGTACATTTTGTAACATAATCAACGTTCTCAAGTAAAAATTTATATGATTCAACGTCAGTCAGTTCACTGTTTATATTCTTATTGCAATAGTTTATACATCACATTAATCAATATCTAGCAGTTCAGCTACAACAACCTAGTAAACATGTTGACATTCAAACAATCATTTCTTATAAGCAAAGATGGATGGTGACTAGCAATGGAATGCAGGATACGTGTTTCATCCTATTTGGGACTCGTCAGTTGGATATACCTACATCTCAAAGTTGATGTTCACTTCAGGACTCGAACCGACTATCGTTTACTTCAAACATTAGCACGTTATCCACTCAACAGCTAGTGATTCCTCATAGCCAACTGCTTGTGAAATAGGATGAAGTATAAATTCACTCAGTGTTTTTTACTTGTATCTTTACATTGATGTTTACGACTACAGTTGATCAGTCTCATATTGGCATATATGAATCCTGTGCAATTCACTTTAATATTGTGTTAGATCACAAGCATTATTAAGCAGAGAGATCAATGAAGGCTAACAGTGAAATCCATCACCATTCATCTTTGCTTATAAAGCCTGTAACACTTAAGGCAATATCAAGACAATCTGAACAGTATGCACATATACCAACAATAGAGACTATAAACATCAATGGGAAGATAAAAAGCAAACAACATCAAGTGATTCATTTCTTCATATTTAACACATTTACATTCATAAAGTTTGTGTTCTCACATAATGGTTATTTTACAGATTAAGAACAATCATTATAAATAAATAGAATATTTCTTGTCAATAGAGGGAGTTTTTCTTTGTGAATTATTACATGGGAAATATTTAATAGGCAATATAGATTTTGTATATAACAGCATGTATATAGAACTTACCATTGAGGTGACATGATCTTATCCAAGATTCTGCAATTTGATTGGTTAATAAATGTTAATGAACCATTACATTGTAAATATGATTAACCAATCAGTTTTTAATAAGTTTTATTCATGATGCTGATTGGTTCATAATCTCTTTGTTCAATATGAATAGGGTTAATTTGTAGTTCGATTCGAGAAACCGAGATTGGAAAACACTTGCTTGATCTCATACCTAATAAAATTAAGATAGTGAGGGAACTTGAAATTCATTCTAAAAAAAGAAATTCAATTCAATATAAAATTTGATAATTTAACAATTTCAATAGTTGGAATCATGAGTCAATCGAAGCTAGGTCACTACGGAAAGTCTAGAAACATTGGACGGCCGATTCGTCTTAGTATGGGATTAGTTGAAGTTAGACATTAACACCGTTGGATGCCGGCCAACTCAGTGGTCTAGTGGTTAAGCGCTCGCGTGTGAGACTGATAGGTCCTTGGTTGGAAACTCGAAAAGGGCGGGATTGTGGGTGTGTGCTGCTGAGGAGTCCCATACCAGGACGAAACGACCGTCTCATGCTCCCAGGTTTTTCATGGTGGTCTAGCTTCAATTGACTCATGATTTCAACTATTGAAATTACTAAAATCCCCACAAAACCCTTCCTGATAGTAATTTTAATAGTTAAGATCATGAGTCAATTGAAGCTAGACTACCATGGGAAACCTGTAAGAACTGGATGGCCGTTTCATCCTGTTGTAGGACTCCTTAGCAATGCGCATCCATGATCTCACCTCGCGTGATTTGATTGATTCATAATCTCAACTATTAAAATTGCCATAATATCCATAAAGAAACCCCTTGTGAATTTAATGTAATGTTATTTTGTATTTGTTAAAATTACAACTGGTTAACTTTTTAATGTTTCATGATAATCTCTGGAGGTATTAAGAATTTCTATTACACTTAGCAATGTAGGATGTAGTTGTTATTTAATTAACACTGACTAAAAGGGAACCTGAAATGAACACAAAGTCTTAATCCTCACATTTATTTTAAAGTTTTAGGCACAGAAAAAACTCAGATTTGGTTTATATAGAACAAAGTGCTTCCAGGTTTCCCATGGTAGTCTAGCTT